CGGGCCGCGCTGGGACAAGGCGTTTAACTTTCACACGTATAGTTGCATTATGGCCACAAGGCGGCGCAGAAAAATAACAAGTTGTTAACAAATAGGTGAGCTGCTTGGGCCCTTTGCAGGCATTGCTATTGCTGCAAGCCAATGTTTGCCACCGGAATGATTATTAGATTAGTCTTTTTTACCAGCCCTGGTAATGAGAGGGAAAAATGAGGCAAACATGTGTGTGCTTAATGATACTGCTGACTTTAATAAAATCTGAATAAATTAATCCCTACGCAAACTTTAATGTTTGCCCCCTTCAAGCTATTCTGTCATCTACACACAGATATTTTCAATTCAGAAAATGGAATTAAAATAAAAGAGACTAAGATTTTCTATTTCTGGTTAGAGACAATTTTAAAATAGTACATAAGATTTGACATTTAAATTATTTTTAATTTTTGACAGAGATTATACATTTTTAACACTAGTGTTAACTATCTTAAATTGATGTAATAAGCATTGCCTTTTTCAGATTTTAAGTTTCTTAAAAATCTATGACCTACTTGCCTGGAATACCAGGAATACCTGTAATACCGGGCTGGTAGGTTATATATAATTTTAGTCTTGAGAGAAAAGGTAGCCTCCCTCCCAGGTTTTAAGGCAAAGCAATATTTCTCGTCAACCCAATAGGGCATATATTATTTTCATGAGGATTGGTTGGGTGGTTGTTTTCTTTCCATTATTCATACTCCAACTAAATTAAATGCTTGTGGTGCTGGGCAACTGATTAATAATACCTGCTGGTTAGATTTTCAAAGTTGTGGACTAATCTTCCCATGGAATGCAGCAGAGAATACCACAGCCAAGGTGCTCATCACAGGGTATAATCTTGAACTGCAAACTTTTGGTTTTAAGGTAAAAGTTCATCTGGAAGAAAATATTAAGGAGAATGGTTAAAGGGAGAAATGATCAATCTACTTTTCTGCACTCTTTAAAATCTAAACTTAGGCAAACTCAGACCATTTGAAGGTTGTACATTGGACGATATTAATTTAGCCACTTATAGAATTTTCTTCACTGTATTTTGTTCTAATGTTAAGTAAGCACTAAACCCCAAACCTGACACTCCATGAGTGTTTGTTGAGTTAAAACTACTTTAGGATTTTCTTTGACACTTATGGTGACTTGAGGTGAATGTAAATAGGTTAAATTCCCAGTTAAAAGGAAAGGAATCACAGAATAGATAAAAACCAACAGTTACCCTCTATACGCCGCTTATAAAAAACATCTCTTGATGATAAAAGACATGTGCAATTTCAAAGTGAAGGGTGTTCCCTAGAAATCTCATGTAAGAAGTTTCTTTTGGATTTTAGGTCAGGAGAAACTGTCTTCCCTGAAAAACCAGTGTATTCCTTAGTATAAACATTTTTATTCACTTTTATTGACTATAAACTCTTGAGTCTGGCATACAAAATACTTACCTTTTTAAGCCTTAGCTCCTTCTTCCTTCAAGGAGCCTTTATAGCAGGTCAATGGCACAATCAGTTCTTTTGGGAATGCTCTCCCCTACTCTGTTCCAAGCTATTTCTTCACCTGAGAAAATCAACTCCTTTTTCAGAGTTTACCTTTCTCCATGAAGCCTTTAAGGATCACTGTAACTGGATGGATATGAGATAGCATAGTGTAGTGGCACTATGTGGTCTTGTACCCTATAGCAAATTTAAAAAAAAAATTGAGTTGTGACCAGCAGTTAGCGTAATGGCTATGTCGCTGGACTCCCACATAGTCGACCACGGTTCGCGTCCTGGACCCGGTGGCTTAAAACTCATGCTGGGCGCGTGTGCGTGCGTGCCCAAGATCCCAAGAGGAGAATGGAGGAGAAGGGATTGCGGTGTGGCCATCCCCCCTGGGGGGTGATTTCTCGCTTTCTGTCTCTCTGTCTGTCTCTGTCTGTCTGGCGATCGCACGTATCCTATGGCAAAAATAAATAAATAAATAAAAACTCTCAAAAAAAAAAATTGAGTCTATGAAAAGAAAAAAAAAGAATGAATAGCAACTTCATGCCCAATAGACTTGAGGTTATATAGATTGCTAAGTTCTCATGTAATCTTCTTTTGGTATGTTGGATCTAATGTTTCTCACTGATCTACTTTTTCCTGCCCTTTTGATTGGTTTCTCTCTTCCCTGAATCCATTTCAGCCTCTGCTTATTAGTAACCTCTATTGGATGCTTCTCTTCTCCTGGATTAACTGTAGGGAAGGAAAAGCTTTTTCTCTGTTCTCTTAAAGCCTTTGGCTGAGCCTGAGCATTGATTTAGCTTAAGATATTAACAAGAGAAGAGCATACAAACATGTTTAATATACGTTGTGTATGATACAGGAGCCTTTATAGGTAAATGAAGACCCAAAGAAGTTACAAAATGAAGACCCAAAGAAGTTACAAAAGCTAAGTGCTCTTATACTAGAGTGAATTATGATATTAAATTATGTGGGTATTTTTTTGGAGGAGGGGCAGCTAGTGGAAAATAAGAACTATTTTTGAAGGGTCTGTTTCTACAGAATTCACTTGGCTATGTTTTTTTTTTTTTTTTTTTTTTTGTCTAAGACTCTGTTCTCCAGGTACAGGGAGGACATTTTTGATATGTGAGATTTTATTTCCTGTTTTCTAGAAGAAAAGGGGAAAATAGAATACCCTTCTTCTATCTGCCCTTCTTATATCTGCTTTTTTTTAAGTGCCTTTTGCTCAAAATAATTTTTATGCCAAAGTGGCATCTTTTGGGTGCATACTTCTTTTTACTTTCTCATCTAACTTGTTTGCCTTAAAGACCTTTTTCTCTACCATATCTTTAAGAAATTAGACCAGAAGCTCATCAGGGTATCCCTTCACATTAATGCGTTCAGCACTCCTCTGCTCTATGATGGCTTTCCCTCGAGTAACTGAGGAGATTTTTTCATCACTCCAAAGTGTCCAGGCTTTCTCTCTCTTAGCTGCCGGTTTCTCATGCACCAGATACCAGATCCTCATCAGCCCTTTCACTTGAATGGATTAAAGCAACTGGAGCTCACCTTTTAGGGCCCCTGTCCATAAATTCATTTATTGCTGAGCTTTAATTCATGGCAGCATATGCTTTTCCTCACATTTTAAGACTTTTCAAACATTTGAAAAGTCAGAAAGTACAATGAACAAGCCTATACTCATCCCCAGAGTTCATTTTGCAGGTGGACTTTGTATTGCTCTCCCTAGACTCTAACTTTTTTTTTTTTCTTTTTGGTTTGTTTCAAGTAGACAGCAAGGCCATTAATATTTTTATAGCTAAAAAAAGCAAAAGCTTCTAGAAGTGTACAGGACAACAAGAAAGTCACTAGCCACATGAAAATGTTTATATTTACATTCACATTAATTTAAATTAGGTAAAATTAAAAATTAATTAGTGCATTAGCCACATTTCAAATGATCAATAGCTGCATTTGGCAGTAGGTTCCTGAGAAAAACAGCACAGATACAGAATATTTTTATTATCTCAGGATGTTGTATTGCACAAGATTTTAGAAGCTTTTTAGATCTTTTGTTTATTTTGTTCACTTAAGTTCATTTGAAAATAAACCTGGGACAGGATAGCTGGTGGCTGGTAGTTGAGGAGGCTAGATCCCAAACAGATGACTGCATGGTTCAAGTCTCAGACCCAGCAACTTAAGGGACACGTGTGTGTGTGTGTGTGTGTGTGTGTGTGTGGCCAAAATCCTGAGTGAAAGGAATGATGGAGAAGAATGAATTGCAGTGGAGACATCCCCCACAGGGTATGTTTTCCTTCTCTCTCTCACCAGGGAACACACTTCACCTGTGGCAAAACTTTTTTTTAAAAAAAATGATGAATTTCTTTATAGAACACACTTCACCTGTGGCAAAACTTTTTTTTTAAAAAATGATAAATTTCTTTATAAGAAGAAGTGGCTCTGAGGTAAGAAAGGAGGAACAGTGTTAAGAAATTGGGCCAGGAGCAGAAATCCATAAACTCTAGTCATTTTTAAGGATCCAGCCATGCATCTTTAGCAGTACACCCAGAAGAAGGAAGCACCTCAGAAAAATGGTAGCCTAGTATACCCAGCAGAATTGAACCTAAGACCAAACTCTCAATAGTCACTTTAGTTTGGACAATAAAGACAATAAGACCATGAGACGTTATGATAGATTGGAAGGTCAACAGCCTCCTAGTTTTGAATACCATGTAAGCTTGAATTTTCAGTGAGTTCCAGAAAAGAGGTGTCATAATACTGAGTAAGAAGTTGTTTCCTACCAATCTAGTGGGACTGATGCTCAGTTTCAGACTTAATTACATTTTTCAAAAAAAGAAGAAGTGAACATTTCTTGCACACATGAATTTTCGGACTGAATTGCAACCCACATACATAGGAAAAAATTCTTTGGGAATTATTCTAAATATAGCACGTAAATATGTTTACTTAAAAGATAGTGTGCAAGTATTTGGCCACTGGAGGACATTGTTGTACCATACATAAGACAAAGAAGGTTTTAGAGATGTGATTCTCAAACTTGAGCATCTATCAAAATCATCTGGAGGATTATTTATATCTACTCTCTGAGCATTTTCCCAGTAATACCATATATATTGTTAACTGTAGTCCCC